TGTTCGCGCTGCTGGCCGGCGCATACGGTGAGTGGGGCGCCGCAGCGCACGGCGTCAAGGGAGACAGGCAGCGACGCCGTCGCCAGCTTGTGGTTATGTTAAGTTTGACTGGCGTCATGAGGCCCACTTAATGACGGTGGCAGCGGTGACGCCTGCATGATGTTCTCGAGATATCAGGAGAGGGCGCCCCCTGTCCATTGAGCGGCGGTTTCTCGGGTGAATGTGAGACACCACACCCCAAACAGGCAAAAGATCTGGCATTCAGACAAGTAAAAGGTCTGACATTCATTCCGGCCAAGGCCTTCAGACAAGCGCACTAGCACCGAGCTGGGCGTATGTAGACGTTTCTGCGGGATGGTGAGTCACATGGTGATGAAGTTTCAGGCCGTAAGACTTGAAGCCGTTCGGCTACTGTTTTCTTTCACGCTGGCGAATTTGATAATTGTGCTGGATGACTCTCGTGGAATGGTGTGCACAGGCCTTGTACGGCAATGTGCTCCAATCGAGTCTCTGCTTATGTCCATCTTGGTCACCAACTTTGACTGTCACCGTGAGCAATATAATTATTGAAAATGTAAAAGAGACACTGTATTGATATCTCCGGCCTTCTTAGGTTCTTTGACGTTCTACGTTCAAACACCTCACCATGTTTTAAGGAAAGCAGAGGTGGAGTGCTCTCTTCCCGGTGCCGTCAAATTCGCCTACAAAGGAGCGGGCTAAATTTAAAGGAAAGCACCACTGTTGGGTCCAAACCATTAAACTCTAAGCGTGGTTTATGTATGTACATGGGAGTGCAGTTAAATCCTACCACTGGCTTTCATATCTCTGCTGCCGAGCTCTGTGCTGCTATACAACAACAATGCATCAAACGATTAAATTTTCAGTGTACATATTCACAGCTCGGTAAAATTGGGTTGCTGTTACATTGCGCTTGATGAACAAGCATTTTTGGCGTGTCGTGTAGCGCTAACACTCAGCTATATGCTCAAGTGCTGAACGCCTATTACAATTACATGACATGTCGGAGAACTACAAACGATAGCAGGCTTCAACTAGCTGCCTGACCTCAGTGAGTGTTTAAAAAGTTGACACCAGTCATTCATGTTAGCATTGCGTACGGTAGCACTTGGCTGCAGTTTTCGGGGTCACACCAGTCACAAAATATGTGTTTATTCTGCGAATCTCACTTAGTCTCACCAAGCCGCAATTGGCAGCAGCCGGGGCGTTGAGCAACCGAAAATAATGCTTAGACTAAGCTATGCCATCGCAATCCAATATTTAAATCCCGGAGTGCCGTTTGAGCACAGCGACACCTGTTGCATTCGCCAGTAATCTCTGGCCACCGCGGGGCCGTCAACCCATTAGAAAGTGCGTAGTCACCATGGTCACCGCGAGTAAAAGTTCAAGGGGTCCTTCAAGGTCGAACGAAAGGAAGCGCTGATTCTGTGGAAAAAGAAAGTTGTTTGGAAAGGCGCTGTTTCGATAGGACACGTTGGCCCGAGACTCTGCAGGAGTTGGCCAGCTATGGCGAGGGCCGGGGCGCCGGTAGCATTGTCACCTTTAGTCAAATGATGTCACATTCGGCTCATCTTCCATTACCACGCCATCCACTCCGCGTGATGTTTACGCATTGTCTACATTTGCGGCTGAGTCGTGCTGTCCAACGCAAGGCATGGGTACACTCGCACATGGTTTACACGTGAAATGGCCAGGTCTGAAAATGGCCCACCGTTGGAAAGCTGCGTTAGCTCAGCTCGAGTTTAGATATCTTTTGTATTGAACATCTAGGGCTGAATTCAGGCTGAGCACGGATCGGCATGCCGTCCGCGGCAGGCAGCAGGAAAGTGGAGCGATGTTGGCTGTCATCAGTCAGCTGCTGCTGAACGTTATCGCGTGACATGCATGCACCACTGCCCAGTCGCTTCATGTTGAACAATGAAACCGCACCCCAGGGTGCGGTCTGAATGTCATCGAATGAGGCAAACAGCCCCGCAGAATTTACGTGATATGTCGCAGTTGGGACAGGTTCTATAGCGCACACACACACACACACTCTCTCTCTCTCTCTCTCTCTCTCTCTCTCTCTCTCTCTCTCTCTCTCTCTCTCTCTCTCTCTCTCTCTCTCTCTCTCTCTCTCTCTCTCTCTCTCTCTCTCTCTCCTCTCTCTCTCTCTCTCTCTCTCTCTCTCTCTCTCTCTCTCTCTCTCTCTCTCTCTCTCTCTCCCTCTCTCTCTCTCTCTCTCTCTCTCCTCTCTCTCTCTCTCTCTCTCTCTCTCTCTCTCTCTCTCTCTCTCTCTCTCTCTCTCTCTCTCTCTCTCTCTCTCTCTCTCTCTCTCTCTCTCTCTCTCTCTCTCTCTCTCTCTCTCTCTCTCTCTCTCTCTCTCTCTCTCTCTCTCTCTCTCTCTCTCTCTCTCTCTCTCTCTCTCTCTCTCTCTCTCTCTCTCTCTCTCTCTCTCTCTCTCTCTCTCTCTCTCTCTCTCTCTCTCTCTCTCTCTCTCTCTCTCTCTCTCTCTCTCTCTCTCTCTCTCTCTCTCTCTCTCTCTCTCTCTCTCTCTCTCTCTCTCTCTCTCTCGCCCCATCCCTCCGAGGCACAGATTTGAAGGGGTCACAGATGGCACGTGCCTTTCCAAATTATGGAACATTCGACATGCATTGAATTTGGGCCATAAGTCCAGTTAGTCTCATGGAATTGTTTTGCCTTGCCATCCGTGTAGGGGGCTGGGTGGGGGGGGGGGGGGGGGAAACTCCATTCGGTTATTCTAAAGTGCCTTTCAAATCATTTTATTGTATCATTCTATGACTTGTTATTGACTTTGACTGTCATCAACGCTGCGCACGCCAAAAATACGAAAATATGCGCTCGTGCTTCGCTTTTAGTTTTGGGTTTAATACTTTCGAAGAGATCATTTGGTTTAGAACGGACGCCGCTATTCATGACCCCTGCTGGAGTCGTTCGAAGCAGCAGGTACATCACGTCAGATCTTAAAAGGGATGTCATATGACCCCAAAACCTGAAATAAAAAAGGTGACTGAAATGCAACGTGGGCCTAGATCCCTCAAAGATCCCAGGATCCTTTAAGCATGTAACCCTACAACATCTTGCATCCACACTTGCGACCCAGGCACATGTTCGCTGAAATGTACCAGTGATGTGGTAAAAGTCATTCGAGGTCGATGCCACCTCGGAATTAATTCCTGAAGGCTGGCAAAATTAATGCAGGTCATGGAATATTTCGTCATATTTTGACATCCTGCACGGCTGCTGAAGAAAACCCTTCTTTCGCTCACGCGTTTTGAGGCCTCTAGAAACCCAGTAGAATTAAAAATTTGGTACAGTCTGCTAATATCAACGTCAAATATGAATATTGTGAGCTTGCATGGACACCGAATGACCTCATGTGACCTAACATTGTCTGTTGTAATTAAATAGTGTCATACTTGGTCATTAGCTAGCTTTACTCCTCAAGCATACAACAAAAAGGTTGTAATGCATTAAAAGGGATGCATTGCCTTAGTCCTGACGGGTCACTTGTAGGAAATACCGATCAGACCTCACTTAAAGCTGCAGATCGCGGTCGGGCTGGAATCTTGCGACCATGCGTGGAATCAGCCGGAGGATCGTATACCCGTGCCGTCGGAAATCTTCACATGCCGAGTGGTGCATTTCTTTGGACGTAGGTCCCAAGCATCCCAAGCATCACCAACGTTTTAGGCCATTAGTTTTTGGTCGTCTGACATGGCCTGAAAGGTGCAAGCCTCTTGTACTTTTGTCACAACCGTTCCACATAGTCCACACATGGCCTGCCAAAATATCGCACACCAGTCAATGACGATTCCGCGGGTAGGTTTAGAGAATGATGCTCCATGACTGATTTGTATTTGGGCAAGCCGGTAGTGGTTGCGAAGAAGTTCCCATGTCCCAAGCAGAATTTGTTGGCAAACTCTCTTCGTATCCTTCCTTTTTAGATCAATTTCACACATAGAGTGGATGACTTCGTGATCTCACTAGGAAACCAAACATAAGAAAACTCAGCTCATGTAAGTCATTCGTATTTTTACTTGTCATTACAGACAGGATCGTATAAGCGGTTGATAGGTGCAGATAAGGTGTTCTACACAGTTCTTGTATTCGAAACACACGAATGGAATCAAAGAATTGAGTTTCTTGTGATGCATTTTGTGATGTCCCTACGGCAACGCCCAATTCGGGGAACAAAGGTGGTGTAATTTCCGTTGTTTTATCGCACGGGCCAAATTCGACTGCGGCTGATTTTACGTGAGTTGTTCTGTGCGTTAGCGAGGAACATTATTCATATAGATAATACAACAGTACCATTGTCCTTATTCCTCGGAGAAAAACCAGGAGAATGAAAATAAAGTTGGGTGGATATTTCGGCAACATGCCTTCATCGAAACAATAGCAGAAGTTGTTTTGATAAAGGCAGGTTGCCGAAATATCAACCTAACTATATCTCCATTCTCCTGCTTCTTATCGGAGAAATAAGACTAATGTTACTGTCTTGTCTATGCGACTGATTTTCTCACATCAGAAGGCAAGAATAAGACCACTATTGACTCAGCGGTCATATTTTAACATCCCCTGTGCGGCGCTGAAGGAACCCCTTCTTTCGTACATCACCCACATCGCCCATACTGCATCATAGCACTGCACACAATACACCACACCACACAAGGCACCCCCACTTTGCCTCGCACCAACCACAGTGTACTTCCATGGACTCATCCCTGCTGATTATAAGTAATACTGTTCTGTTTTATGAGAAAAATATTCAGTGTGGTTTAGCAAAGACCTAATTTCGGTGCACTTTGCTGCACATTCCACGGGTTCAATGTGAAAAGTGTAGCAAAAGGTTATAATTCGCATTGACCATGTGGAAGGTGCAGCAAAATGCATCGAAATATAGATATTTGCAGCTAAACCACGCGATGGTATGAGCACTGGTGCAAGAGTAGAAGGCAGAAGAAGGTGTAATAGCAAAGTTGCATGTTATGTCGCCCACTTCATTGTCGTTCGTTCACATGTCAACTTCTCTTTCTCTTTTTCAATGTTATGTTTTCTTTTACGCGCCACCATTGTACGCTTTATTTATGCGTAGTTTTATATTGTGTGAAAGCGCGGTATCATCCGGCTCTTTTCAAGCGTGAGCTGATAAATGATGCTACATGAAGTGACTTACTGAACGAACTGTAACGAGCTCTTTATCAGGTACAGTTCGAAATGATGCTGCACGAGTTTAATATTTCGAATCTATTGCGCATGGTAACAGACAGCGTGGCAGATCGCGCAGTGCAATATAACGGCGTAAAGTAGGTGCTGTACCTGCGGGTCTCGGACCTCCTTGGTTGGGCCATCGGCTGATAATCCAAACATTCACCCCAGGCCAGGAATTCACCTGTCCGGAAGCGTTCGGCGACTACGCAGACTTTGAGTACTGTGATTACTTCTGGCGTTGCACCCGCGACGTGGCGGAGCTGAAGCAGTGTGAGGATGGCCACGCCTTCAACCCCAGACTGCGCGGCACCATCTACCCCTGCGACTACTCCTTCTCCACGAACTGCACCGGCCGCACGCTGCTCCGTAAGTAGTCATCTAAGACCTCTGTGGGAGGCAGCGGCTTCCAGCATCGTGTCTTCAATGAGCCTGGTTGACCACTCGAGGATTTAGGCATAGTGAGGCGTGCTTATTTTCGTATTTTCATTTGTTTGGCGTTAGATGTATAGGAGAAGGTTGAGTGCGTTAAGTAATTTAACAACGACTTTGGATGACTTGCAGCTATTGATAAATTATTGCGATCTGGATTATCGCTCACGGCACCCGGTGTCATTCTTGGGGCTGTTCGCTCTCGTAACAAGCTTCCTCTAAACTGAAATGCCCACGTCGGTACACATCCGTCAATGCAACACGATCCGGAGTCGGCATGCTTTTTAAGCAGGCCTTCCATACTACCCGTCCGGAATGGCACCGCCCATAACGTGCAGTACGTGACACACCCCAACCACACGCCTCCTACCGCGTTCTCAGCAACAATCCCATGCTCAGATGGCTGTTGAGAACTGAGGGAAGCGAATGACCGAGTCGGTGACATGGTCCCGTGTCTTCGGGATGATATCACACCACCTTCATGTGACTCTTCCCTTGGGACACTTTCGGGGCACCCGATCCCCCGCCCACGCGCGCGCTGCGCGTGTTTCGCGCTCCTGCCACACCAGCACGCACCTACTGTCGCAGAGGACCCGCGGCCGGGGCCGGACCCGCAGTGTGAGCGCCAGCACGGTATCTTCGCCGACCCGCAGCTGTGCGACACCTACTACGTGTGCAAGAACGGCGTGGCCACGCGCACCCAGTGCGCGCCGGGCCTGCACGTGGCGCTGGACTCGCGCGAGTGCGTCTGGCCTGAGGCGGCCAACCGAGGCGCGTGCGACGCGCGTGAGAGTGAGTGCACCTCTGAGAGCGGCAGCCGACGCTGTGCCAGCCGCTGTATGGCACAGGATGTGGAGGCACTGTCTGGACTGGTAGAAAGGAATGCTGTTAATTCAAGGCTTTGCACCGTTACCCGTACCGACTCGGGGGTGATGCAGCCACGAATCTCGCACCACGTGACCGCGAAACGAGTCCGATAGTCCCGCCTGTTCGGGCTTCAAGGTTCTCCGTGGCTGATGCCACCCGCCCGACGTTCATGACGCCTCCCCCCATGTCTCGTGTGCAGGGCTCGGCGACTTCTCCTGCCCTCCGGACGCCGCGAACGCGTTGGACGTGCACGGCAACCGCGAGAGCAACCCCACGTACGCCCATGATGACTGCCGCTACTTCTACGTGTGTCTCAACGGTGTGAAGCCTTCCTTGGGCGGCTGTCCCGAAGGCACCGTTTTCAACGATGTGTCCGGGAAGTGCGACGACCCTATCAACGTTGCGGGATGGTAAGTGGGCCCCTGCATTGATGTGTGGACGGTCAGATGCAGAGAGCAGGGGCTTGCAGCATTTTGCTGTCCGTAGAACATCATTGGGCTGACTGCATCAACTTGGATGCCTGCGAGACATAGCTTTGGTAGTGGGTGTCCGGCGAAGCTGAACAAATTTGACTTGCGATGCAACACGCGTGTACGGCGCAGATGGTGCGAGAGCTTTGCAAGTGTCACATTGGCTGGAGCTTGAGTTGTCTGAGTGCTGCCACTCACAAAGAACACAGTAGAGGCCGGTGACGATGTTAACCATTGACTTTTTGGACGTTGTTTTCAGTGAGAATTACTACGAGGACAATGTCGTTTAAGCGGCGGCTTTGTCGGCCTGCCGGGGCTGGTCGTCTGTTTCTGCGAGACGCGAGGCATGCTGCCAGTGACCCGCATTGCCGGAAGTTGCCAACGAGTCGCTCCCTCCATCCGACTCATCGTCATCGTGGAACCTGTTACTTCATTGTACAAAGCGAAAATCGCCAAGCATGTAAACCATTGACCTTGACATGAATACACTATGGAGAAAGTTTGCCGTTCTTCTCAGGGTGCGCGATGATGCGGAGCTGCTGCCGTCCTTGTCTCAGAGCATTTCGGATAACTTGTGCGTTCATGTGACCGCGGGTGGAGCATGCCCATAGAATTGCGCGTGGCAAACCCTTATCACGAGTGTCTTTGGAGAGGAAACTTAAGGCGAACCAACTTAGAAACAATTGACATGGCCGCCACAACTGCCATGCCGTAGTCACACTCATACATATATCATAGCTTGACATTTTGGTTCTTGGTAACACGCTGTTGTTAATGCGTCAAGCATGCACTTGGAGGGGTAATGCGTGCATATCATAAAAAATCAGCCTAACACACACACACACACACACACACACACACACACACACACACACACACACACATACACACACACACACATATATATATACATACATATATATATATATATATATATATATATATATATATATAAATCAACCATATAGAAATCAACCTAATACTGCATGTCTGGAAAAATTAGCGTGTTTAATGCAACACAATGACGATGGAATATTGTCATGCCCGCTGCATGGTGGAACTGTCGATAAATTAGAATTTCGATCCACAATTGTGCTCCTCAGATGTATTTCGAGAAAGCTGATGTCGCAGATCGAATCGAGCACATAGAGCGCCGTAGGCATGGTTTTTCAGTAAATGGTGCATTCGCGGACGTTCGGGAAGCTTCCCCGAATGTCGTGGACAATTAGGACAACACCAGCCCGCGAGGGGTGGCCGAAGCCAACAAGGCTTTTCTTGGAACCGCGTCATACAAAGATGGAAAGAGCAACAGTAATTAACCACATACAAGCACAAACAACGAAGTCACAGAGTGCCGATGGTGCCAAAGTCACAGGGTGCCGATTGTGTGGTGGTTAACGCACCTGCGTCAACCACCGCGCATCTGGGAAATGAGAGGTACGGGGTTCCACCCCCGCGGTGCCCACGCTTCCCGCCCGAGTGAGAGGCAGGCGACGCCACGTAGATTCGGCAGCTGAGCGCGGAGTGAAGCCCCAGTGACACACACAAACCCCAACAGCACAGCTTCATGTTTTCAAATGATGCCTCGAAGCATGTTTACAAAGCTGAAGAGGTCGTGGCGGAGAATTCGGGCGGTAGCGCATTCCATAGCCTCACCGCGCGGCACGCGAACTGCTGTTTTCCGGCGGCGGTGACATGATTAGTGGACCGACGAAAGGGGCGGTCGTGCTGATTGTTCCGCACGTGATTGGTGCGCTCTCGGTTAGACAGAACAACCCTGCGGCCAAAGATTCAGGCTCGTTTGTACTGCAGGTTTTGCGTAAAAGAGTGAGGGTTTGGTGGATAAATATGCTTTTGAAAGTCAGCTAGTCCAGGGTTTCAACACACGCCAGAAATCTGATCAAAATTTCGTAACAGCGAACGTGCGAGAAAACGAGGGCTGTTATAATGGTGGGAAAGGTTCCAAGGGTACATAATACGGAGATGGTGTACGGCAGACAAGGCGCACCTCCGAGAGAAACTGAGTGGCTTGCGAATCCCAGCAGAAATAACGGTCGAACGTGGCGCCTAAATTTTCGGCTTCGGTACAAGTAGCCAGGAGTTCCGCGGAATTTAACTGTGAGCGAGGATAGGTTGCACATGTTTTATGTGACGCCAAGAGGGAAAAGTTGGTGACGTTAGGTCTGACTCAATGTCATCGACCATCTCCGGGAAGGCAAAGTTTTGGCCAGAGACGGCATCCTGCGTGTCGCCAGTATAATTAGCTACAAAGGGGTCAATGGCAAAGATTGTGAAGAACATGGGTATTTGGTAGGAGCCCTGAAAGACTTCCTGGCTGATTGGTCTCGGAGCAGACAGAACCAGAGAGTCAGACACTTCGTGTGTGACCAGAAGCATACTTTTCAAACCAGGTGGTTACTATGCTGCGACATTGCAATGTTGTAAGCAGCTTAGAGCGATCGTTCACGTCAAAAAATTATGAAACCAATTGGGTGCAGCAATTATATTTTCCCCCGTCCGTTGCAGAAAGCAAGCTACCCGACACGTCATTCAGAGTTCTCTCAGTAGAGTGCCGGGATCAAAAAACGAGTTAGGATGAAAAGCAGATGGTTGGATTTTAGGTAGCGATGAAGCTGATGTTGAACCAGCCTCTCCAGCACCTTGAGGCTGGTACGAAGGATGGACAGAAGAATTGGGCAGAAGTTGGAAAGATTGCCAGGATTGCCGGACTTCATGGGATGCGCCAGCGCATGTTTCCATAAGCTAAGTATGGCTCGACAAGTAACAAGTGGGTTTGAGAAATGTGGGAGGCTTACAGGCATACAGGCCACGTATGCGCTTTACAATCAAAATACATTGTTCAAACCGGAGGTGGATCCAGGAAAGCTATTAGCCAGCTCCACCTACACCAGCGGATCCAGCCGTTCTCCGGTGTCGCTTCAGGCGGGTGCTGGATCCCACCCTGTTGCCGCACAGTAGCGGGAGGTATGACGAACAGAAAGCGTGCCGGCACCGTCTCCCGGACCGCGATCGTTGGGGCGTTGGAGCGTAAACGTTGGTGGCGGAGGCATATCCATTTCAAACTGGTGTCGTAGATACACTTATGGATATTCTGTTTAATGGTATGCCAAGTAGATACACATGAGGCGCAGTCGTTGAAATTCCACACCACTATCTGCTGTATGACACTAAAATTAAGATATCGGTCAAACCATGTCCCCGCAGCAAAAACGCGTGTTTTCCTCACTTTTTTGCTTCGTGTATCCACCCATGCCAAATTTCCAAATTTTGTTCAAAGAAATGTAGTTCATAATGTATGCCATCGAATTTCGTTTTCTGGTAGAAAATCGGTCAAGTGGTTCTGGGGATACAAAAAGGGGCCGGATAAGCCCTGTCCCATCAAGCCTACCTCTTTGTTTCTTTTTCATGGCCACAAAAGTTGGGTTAAAAAAGATTCGATGGTGGTTGATAGCAGCTAACATTTTCAATGTGGGCGAATGAAATAACCGCATGACAGTGCGTGGTTATCTCTATATTTCACATGCGTGTACGAAAGATATTTGTTCTGACACCGAAATATATCCCCTGCTGGCTACTGCCATTATGAGTTCTGAGTTCTATGTTGGCATGGGTGCACAAGGACGACTTAAGCTCATGGCCTGGAAAAGATCGTATATGGCCTGGAATACATCGTATATAATATGTTCGACAATTGGAATATCAAGTGGCCAGTCAAGCTCTCTTTCTCTGGTGGATGACACTTCCCCTCAGTTCGGTAGAGAAAACAAGCAACTTACTGTGTGCATGGCGAGGACGCCAAAGTCGTCTACAGTGCTGTCAGAAGTTGTCCGGTCATCGCGCCGTGAGTGAACTCAGACCTTCATCTGGATCAAAATAACGACGTAGGTCAGCACAAAGCTGAGAAGGGAGAGCATGGTGGACTTCTCTACCGTGAAGAGGCCGACGCCGCCGAACGACAGCGGCTGCCGCGTTCTCTCGAGCAGCAGCTGCAGTGAGAGCCGTGTGCTGACCGGCAGCTGCGGCGACCAGCGGCCTCTGGCCAGCGCGGCATGCAGCTCCCGGCAGCGGTCGATCAGCGCGCTGCCCGTCCAGCACGACGTAGCCAGCCGCATTGCGTTCACCACCATGAACGTGGTGAAGCCCACCGACTCGGTGAGGTTGACGGCGTTACTTTGGTACATGGCCATGTTAACGTAGCTGCCGACCAGCAGGGCGGTCGTGACACACGTGAACAGACTGAACGTGGGCAGCGAGCAGATGTCGGCCGCCTCCTCGGCCACCTCCTCCACCGTGCGAAGCGCCTCGGACAGTAGGCGTAGCTGTGGCGCGAGTGCGGACGTGTGGCACGGCTCCGGCAGGTGGGACAGGTCCAGGCGCAGCGGCGGCGGCGGCGAGGCGCTGGTGCTGCGGCCGCCGACTGCCGGGTCCCCGGTCTCTGCAAGGTCGTCTTCCATGCTCCAGGCGAGGCCTTCGGAATCGGTGTGGGTAGGCTCCCCACCGGAGCCTGCCACGGGATGGATCTGCGCGATCTTGTTGCTCCCGCCGGCGCCGTCACCGCCGCTCTCGGTCCCCAGGCACTTGTGGAGGTATCGAGTGAGCCGTTCCATCTGCAGGCGGACGGCGTCCGCCAGGCAGATGAAAACCACGTCAGACGCGACTGCCATGGTGAGAGAAAACAAGGTGCTGAGCACCTGGGCGGTCATTAATGCCCAGTACCAGGGAGGCTCCTGCAGCACCGCCGGCACCAACACGGGAAACAGGTAGACGGGATACTTGCTTTTGCACAGAAAACCAACTGTCCAGGTGATACCCGAAGCTGTCATCAAGCCGACGATGATGATGATATAACACCTGACGTTGACGTAGTCGCGGGCATGCATGTACGCGGCGGTGGCGCACTCGAGCGCGGCCAAGCGGCGCAACAGGCGGTGCAGCCGCCGCCGCTGGTGCAACAGGCACACCAGCACCAGCAGCGCATGGATCATCATGGAGCCGATGGTCAGGCTGTACAGGATCTCGCGGGCGCTGCCCAATGTCACCGTCTTGGCCATGTTAGTGACGACGGCGAGCAGCGTCAGCGCCAACACCAGGAGGCGGGCCAGGCGCCAACCGGCCGGCGGCTCGGCTTGCTCCACGTGCAGCCCGCTCAGCGCCAGCAGTGAGCTGACGAGCAGCGTGCGGCGAATCAGCCGGGCGTGGTTCAGCATGCTGAGCCGGCTGGGCAGGCAGCTGCGCTCAGGTCACCTGCTGCCGCGGTAAGGTGTGTGAGTGTCTGTCCGGCTGAGCGTCTGAATGTGAGTGCCAGTGCATTAGAGCCAAATGTCCTTTTGGCCCGCTCTATAGCTGATTACATAACGCAGCCAGCAAAACGTGTGCACGAGGGCTGAACATTCGGATTTGAAATTTGACTAAATGCTCGGATGAGGAGAAAAATCAGCATGCAGAAATCAGTATGAAATTTCGTTCATGAGCATTCAAACA